TGCTGTACTTGCTTCTAAGCTGGTTTCGGTCGGATTTGCCAAAATTGATGCTATTACGGCCATTTGGTGGTCAATCACCCGAAATCGGAAGAAGATATATATGGGAGCTATATCCAAATCTGAACCGATTTCGATAAAATTTAAAACAGCTATTCCTGTGCTTCATCTAATAGCTGGTACCAAATATCACGGTTGTGGAGTGAATATTACGAATGTAAGGGGCTAAAACACTAAATCGGATGAAACATATATATGGTTGCTATATCTATATCTGAACCGATTTTCACTAAATTTGATATACTTGCTTCTAGGCTGAATTTGGTCCGATGTACTAAAATTCAGTCCATTTGGACTTATATCGGCCATTTGGTGCACAATTAACCCGAAATCGGATGAAGATATATATGGGACTGATAGTGGACATTTGGTGCACATTTAACCCGAAATCGGATGAAGATATATATGGGAGCTATATCCAAATCTGAACCGATTCTCACCAATTTCAATAGGGTTCGTCCTTGGGCCAAAAAAATATTGTTTGGAAAATTTGATATACTTGCTTCTAGGCCGAACTCGGTTGGGTGTGCCAAAATTCAGGTAATTTGGACTGATATTGGCCATTTGGTGGTCAATTAACCCGAAATCGGATGAGCTATATCCAAATCTGAACCGATTTCGATAAAATTTAAAACAGCTATTTCTGTGCTCCATCTAATACCTGGTACCAAATATCACGGTTGTGGAGTGCATAGTAGGAATGTGAGGGACTTAAAGATCAAATCGGATTAAAGATATATATGGGAGCTATAGCTATATCTGAACCGATTTTCTCCAAATTTGATATACTTGCTTCTAGGCCGAACTCGGTTGGGTGTGCCAAAATTCAGGTAATTTGGACTGATAGTGAATATTTGGTGCACATTTAACCCGAAATCGGATGAAGATATATATGGGAGCTATATCTAAATTTGATCCGATTCTCACCAATTTCAATAGGGTTCGTCCTTGGGCCAAAAAAATATTGTTTGGAAAATTTCATCTCAATCTGATAATAAATGCGAACTGCATTTTGTTCACAAGAATACATGGACAGACGGACGGACGGACGGACGAATTTTCACCTTTGTTAATATTATTGAATAAAAGCAAAAAAATGTCGGAAAAAGCATCAAATTTTGGAATATGTCTAGATTTGTTCGAATTGGCACAAATTATCAAAATTATAATTATAACAAATCCGTCACACGCTGCCTGAATGTTGCTCTTCGGTATGTTGGCCCATTCTCGGCGAAGTGCTTGCTTGAGGTGATCGACACTTTTGTAGTTTTTTTTAGCGCCAACTTTGCTAAGTCGATCTAGCTTTGTATGTCCGTACGTCTGTTCATGTTAATTTGTAATCACTCTACAGGTTGCTATTATGGCCTTTTAATACCCTCCACCATTTGGAAGGGGCTTGGAAAATTTCAAAAAACTTCTGGAAACTACCACTTAAATGAAAACTGTTATATGGAGCCTATACAAAGACGTGAACCTGCTTACGAAATTTTTTGTCATAGGCTGAAGTAGACATTACGAGCTTCAAATAGCAAATTTGAAACAATTCCGGTAAATTATGTCGCTAGAATCATGAAAATACCTAATATTGGGGGGTTCCGTCATTATGTAGGGGCTACGAAAATTGTTGTAACCATTAAGATCTCCCGAGACGAAAGTTGAAACGATTCCGTTGAAAAAGGTTGCTGAAATAATCAAAATACCGAATATCGGGAGCTACCTTTATGTGGACTACGAAGATGTGGACTTGCATACAAAAATGTTTGTCATAGGCTGTAGTACCCATTACGAACCTCAAATATGAAATTCTAAATAATTCCTGTAAATACTGTCGCTAAAATCATGATCATAATACCGAATATCGGGAGATACTGTTATAAAACTATGCATGTATGCAAATCAAAGGAACTTAAATAAATTTGAGTCAAATTTTAGCCACATGCTTGAGATGTTACGAAAGAAACGACAAACGTAATATAACCTCCATAGCATGGACGGTTAAATAATTAAAAAGTTTATTAAATCCCATATTTTTTTCGAAATCTAGAGAAGAAATAATTTCGTTTTGTGGTTTATTGACCCATTTGCCTAGACGCTCATAGCCCCTAGGTATACTGATACTTCCAACTCTTCTCATATGTTAAATGATTATTTACTGTGGCATTCGTTTATTTTTTAAACCATCCTACACACATTTTAAGGAGTATGTTAATAAAATGTCTTTAACAAGTTTTCTCAAAAGTTAATTCAAAAACAACTGCTGTGTGCATGTTTCCAATATATTTTCTCTAAACTAAACATTTTCGTAAAGGTTTTTTTTTGGCAAAGTTTGAGCATTTGCATGTTTGTCAATGAGTTTAACTTTTATGTTTGTGCTAATAAGCAGAAGCATGTTGGGTTCGAACTTAATTTACCACAAAGCACTTGACGAGAAACAGTTTCTCTAATTTAATTTTATTTAAAGTTAGAGGAGAACAGTAAACGTATATAATATTAAATTAAATTTCCGTGTGCCTCGGTGTGTGTGTGTGTGTGTGTGTGTGTGTGTGTGCGAATGTCTGTTGCGGTGCGGGTTGCCATGCATGACTTACAAGCACAGTTTGATCCTTAGTCGCAATGGGTGGAAGGAATGAATAAAGGAGAGAAGGAAGGATGAACGGAAACAAATATTTGTTGGAATATGTCACTTTAATAAAGATATTTGAATTTAAATTAAATATATTATGTGTAACAACTTTAATGCAAGAGTGAAGATATGCTGATAATTTTTAGAATTACTTATGTGTGGTTATGGAATTAATTAAAGATGACATCTTTGATGATGGCATATTTGTTTAAGTTGAGCGTAATTATAATAATTTTGCACCTAAATAATTGTTGGCGTGTGATCATATTAAGTAACTCATTTATTCTCATTTTGTCTGCTTATCTAAATATTTACTTTGAGATTCTAAATAAAACTGTAAATTGGAGAGGAATTCCATTATCTCAAGAAAAGAAAATGTAAGTTTGCACATACAGGGTGAGATAAAAAAAAATTCAACAAAATTAAACGCTATAATTTTCACATTTTTATAATTTTATTGAATGAAAACAAAACAATGTTGGAAATATTATCACATTTTAGAATAAGTTTAGATTTGTTCGAATTGGTCACCTTTGGCACGAATGATAACCTTCAAACGACCAATGAAACCGTCACACGCAACCCGAATGTTGCTCTGCGATATTTTAACCCATTCCCAGCGAAGCGCTTGCTTGAGGTGATCGACACTCAGGTATTTTTTAGTGCCAACTTTGCTTTCCAAAATACTCCAGACACAATAGTCCAACGGATTGGTATCCTTTGTTGGTATATCATTGTGCGCTGGAAATGAAGCGAGGAACCTCATTTTGTAACTATTCTCAGGTGGCGCGTGCTGAGTGCGATGGTGCTGAGTCCTGCTGGAATGTCCAAGGTCTGCGGCCAAAATGTTTGCGTGCCCAAGGCTTTAAAATATCCTCCAGAATATTTTCGCGATAATATTCGACATTTGTTCTAATGTCACGGTCGATTTATACGAGCGAAGAGCGACAATCGGCGGTTATGAGCTTGAATTATGGTGGCCAACCGAAGGCAACATGACGCCTTTTTTAATTTTTGGTGAATTTTTTTAAATTAAAATTGCAACACACCAATAATACACTAGTCAAAGAGATTAAAACCAAACAAGTCAAAAAAGCAGTAAGTTCATCCAGACCGAATTTTGAATACCCTCCACTTTTTTTAAAAGCCATAAAAATATTCAAAATTTAAAAAACAAAAACCGGTGAATAATGCAGCTAAAATCATCAAAATAATGAATATAGAGAGGTACTGATAGTAGTATAGCAGCCTATACGGAGACCTGGACCTGCATACGCTATTTTCTTGCATAGACTGTAATTCCCATTACGCGCTCTAAATACGAAATTTGAAATAACTCCGGTGAATAATGTTGTACTGTTGTATGTGGGATATACGATATCGTGGACCTATATAGACAATAATCTTTCAGGAGGTAAAGTACTCAGAAGGAATTTTCAGACAATTTCTACAATAATCAAAATATTAACATAGTGGACCAATATGGCCCATATTTCAACTTGCCTACTTGTAGACAAAAGACTGATATGTGCAAAATGTTAGATTCCTATCTTTATTAGTATTTACTCTAGCGTGATTACTAGAGACGGACAGATGTAGAGACGGACAGGGCTAAAGTTTACGCTGATCAAGAATATATATACTTTGTTATGTCTAAAACTATTATGTCGATGAGTTACAAACGGAATGACCAACTTAATAGGGTAAGTGTACCAGTAGTCGGCACTTTTAGGATTTTCGCGTTTTTAATCGCTCACCATTCTGAGTGAAACTTTTCAATTATTATAAAGTTAATTTATTCAGATTCGAAATTTTGTATAGTTTTTCCAATAATAAATAACGTTTTAATAACTTTTTATTAAATTTTATAAATTTGTAGTTTTATTAAAACAATGCTTTTTTGCCAGTAGTCGGCACCACTTGCCAATTGTCGGTATGGCATGTTCCAACAGTCGGCATACCAATTTTTTTTTAAGTATAATTAATAATAAATTAATTCATTAAAATATAATATTTTCGTTTAGTTAAACCGATTCAACGTCTTTATTGTACTTTTCTTAAGAATATGGATTGTTGAGGACCTTCACAGACAAAAATTTAATTTTTATTAGAATAAATCATCTTTTCTTAGCGAAATTGTACACAAAGATAGCTGACAATGTATTTGAAGTAAACAAAATACATTTAGTTACAATAGTTTCATTTACTTGGGCTTAAAAATAAAAAGTGCCGACTACTGGGACATGCCGAACTTAGGCACACTTACCTTATACTCTCCATACTATTTATGATGGAGGGTACAAAAATATTAATCAATTCATTTTAAATATTTAATGTCATTTCTGACGTTTTTATTATGATAATAATATAAATTAAAGTATGTATAAATATATTGTATGTATGAAGATATTTAAATTATTAATGTTATAATTCGGAGTCCCCTAGGGCAACATTTACCAATGTCATTTGTTGTTTGGTCATAGTTTTTGAGGAATAAGTTTTGTTCAAATCGATTTCATCGCCGCCATCAAAATCAGCAACATCGTCATTATCATCCTCTTCCATAACTTCGTAATTACTCAAATCAAAATTGACTTTGTTATCTTGTAAAAATCCACAACTTGTGGCATTCGATAAATTAATGTTAGACATGGCATTATTTAAGCTTGTCATCTTGTAGGGATCGAGCGATTTGTCATAGTCAGTGGCGCTTACAAATTTTGCATTGGCCATGGTGTGTTTTTGCATTTCTCTGCAATTAGAATGACGAGATAAATATTTTAGATACCATTTTTTGTATAGATTTCAAAAATACAACCTATATTTTCAAAAATGTATACCTTACCTTTAAATCTATTTATTTTATTTAAAAATTCAATAACGTATTTGTTGACTGAAAATTCTTTGTATACTGACTCATTTCACTTTCGCCAACATCATTTTATAGTGACGATTCCTACCTGTCTCAATTATAATGGCCGGTTTTATCGTCCTACCTGTAGTTTATCTATTGGAAAATACCATCACCAACTTCTACCATTTTTCTTATTGCCTGCTTAAAAAGAAAATCCCAAAAGGATTAAACCTGTTTATATTCTGCAGATGTTATAAATTCTTTGCCTTATTTTTAGGTAGATTTCTGACTTGATTTAAGAAGGGATTTGCTTTCAAATTGGAATTCTTTCTCGACCATTATATGCAACGAGGCCAGGTGTCCTTAAATACGTTTATCTTCTTCCTCTGATAAGCTACACTGGAATTTACAAATATTTGTTTTATGATTTTTTCTTTTTGGTGAAATTAAGTCGGATGATGTAAATCATGTTCCAAATTAAAGGAAAAATAATAATCTTTTAGTTTATATTTAAGGATAACGTTTAGCAAAAAACTGCAGAATTAAGTAAAATTCTATCCTGTGATATTTTAAACACTTACGTTGTTATTAACCTTTATCCTACTTCTTTTTAATTTTTTGAGCAAAGAAAACTCAAATATATAAAAACATGTAAGCAAAGACTAAAGTCGGGCGGAGCTGGCCATTTGATATCAACAATAGCATGATATGCGGTAAAGTTCTGAAAATCTGAAATCCTTTTGAAGTTTTATCTTGACTTTTGACTGAAACCACGATGCTATGCAAATCTTCCCTATATTTACGCCCTATGACTTGTTAATGGGTATTCAAAACAATATTTAAAAATTAGATTCCTCGATATGATTGCTTATATCTTCGATATTTAGTTATAATCGTCAACGAAATCAGCATTAATGTAAAGGTACGCCTTTTATATATTTGTGACACCACACCTTAGTCAAGGTATTAAGTCTTTGTACATTTGTTTGTAACATGAAAAAGAAACGAGATAGACCCGTAGTTATTTTGAGGATCTTCATAGAATCATTTTCTGAGACGATTTATGCATGTGAGTCCGTCTGTTTGTCCGACTGTGTATACATTTTTGTGAACAACATGCATGTGGCATTTATTATTGGTTTGGCCCAAGAACAAACCCTATTGAAATTGGTGAGAATTATTTCAAATTTAGACCGATTTTGGGTTGATTGTGCACCAAATGACCAATATCAGACCAAATGACCAGAATTTTGCCACATCCGACCGATTTCAGTCTACAAGAAAGTACTTCAAATTTATTTAGATATACTTATGGCTCACATATATATGTTTCATCCGATTTTTTCACATGCTCAGTATGCACTCCCCAAGAATGATAATTTGTACCAGTTATCAGATACAGTGCAGAAATACCTCTGTCAAGTTTTATCGAGATCCGATCAGATTTGGCTATAAACCTCATATATATCTTTATCCGATATCAGGTTTATGATGCGCAAAATGGCGAATATCAGCCCAAAAAGACTGAATCTTAGCACTTTCGACGGAATTCAGCCCAGAAGCAAGTACTTCAAATTTTGGTGAAAATCAGTTCAGATATTGTTTAGCTGCCAAATGAATTTTTCATCAGATTTGGCGTTAAAGTCGATCGCATGCGTAATATGCACAACAATGATATTTGGTACCGGAAATCAGATACAGCTCGAAAATACCTCTGTCAAATTGTATCGAGATCGGTTCAGATTTTTACTCTTGATATATATCTTCATCCGATTTTATGGTTATTGTTCAACATATATTTAAAATCAGCCCAAACTGGATAAAGTTTTTTATATTCAGCCGTATTTTTCCATTTGGTGAAACTCGGTCCGGTATATCTATTGCTCCAATAAATATTTGTTAATGTAATTCATATCGAAGTCACTATTCATCAATGCTATTTGGTACTGGAAGTACAAAAGCCTCCCCCAGATTTGATGAAAATCGATTCAGTTTCGATATTGTTCCAAAATTGTGACTACTCTAACTCTTAACTCAAATAAGGTTCACGGTTCGTATGATCTACTTCAAATAAATTCCCAGAATATAAACTCAAATATACCTCAAAATATACATTTTAGACCCCACAAAGTATATATTTTTGATCAGCATAAAATTCTATGTCGATTTAGCGATATCCGTCCGTATGTGGGAATCACTATAGCTTCCGAACGAAATGAAGTAGGTAGATAACATTTTACTCAAATGTTTATTATGTCTGCAGGACTTTTGGTATTGAAAATGGGTCATGTAGGTCCACGTTTTGGTGTAGTCCCCATATAATAATACCTCCCTTTTTTAGTATTTTGGTGATTTAAGCGACATTATTCCCCGGATTTGTTTCAAATTTGGTATTTGATGTTCGTAATGGATACTACAGCCTATGACAGAAAATTTTCTGTGCAGGTCCACGTCTTCATATAGCCCCATATAACAGCCCCATATAACAGTATTTTCAATAGCCCCATATAACAGTATTTTGATGATTTTAGCTATATTATTCACCGACTTTTTTTTAAAGTTTCGGATTAGAATATTGTAATGGCTTATGACAAAAGTTTCCTATGCAGTTACACGTCATCGTTTAGACATTTGGTATTTTCAAGATTTTAACAGAATTTTTAATGGATTTTTTTTTTTTTTTGAAAATTGCCAAAATCGTTCCGAATGGTGGCGTGTATTAAAAAATCGGCCCGGCTTACAGCTTTTTTACTTGCTTTTACTTATTTCATTTAATGATGTCTAAAAGATACATATTTCCAAAAAAAATATTCCATTATCATTTCATTTCATGGCCCATTTTGTATCGCTCGCATTCAATGAAAAATTCTGATTTTCAATGTTTGGAAGATGCATAATTTTGATACTTTAGGTTTTCAGTAAATAATATATATTTTCAGGAGGTAAAAAATGCTCACTATTGGCCCACTATTCTATATTACTCACATATAGAGTTATGTATTGCCCTCATCTAGATGTATATTCCACTTTAAACGGGTTTAAACGCATTTTTATACCCTACACCACATAGTGGTAAGGGTATTATGTCTATGTGCATTTGTTTGTAACATGGAGAAGGAAACGAGATAGACCCATAGTTACTTTTGAGAACCTTCATAGAATCACTTTCTGAGTCTATTTATGCATGTCAGTCCGTCTGTCCGTCCGTCCGTCCGTCCGTCCGTCTGTCCATGTATTCTTGTGAACAAAATGCAGGTCGCATTTATTATCCGATTGAGATGAAATTTTCCAATCAATATTTTTTTGGCCCAAGGACGAACCCTATTGAAATTGGTGAGAATCGGATCAAATTTAGATATAGCTCCCATATATATCTTCATCCGATTTCGGGTTAAATGTGCACCAAATGTCCACTATCAGTCCAAATTACCTGAATGGAAGCAAGTATATCAAATTTAGTGAAAATCGGTTCAGATATAGATATAGCAAACATATATATGTTTCATCCGATTTAGTGTTTTAGTCCCTTACATTCGTAATATTCACACCATAACCGTGATATTTGGTACCAGGTATTAGATGGAGCACAGGAATAGCTGTTTTAAATTTTACCGAAATCGGTTCAGATTTGGATATAGCTCCCATATATATCTTCATCCGATTTCGGGTGATTGACCACCAAATGGCCGTAATAGCATCAATTTTGGCAAATCCGACCGAAACCAGCTTAGAAGCAAGTACACCAATTTTAGTAAAAATCGGTTCAGATATAGCAATAGCTCCCATATATATCTTCATCCGATTTCGTGTTAATTGTGCATCAAATGGCCAATATCAGCCCAAATGGCATGAATTTTCGAACATAAGACCGAATTCAGTCTAGAAGCTAATACGTCAAATTTGGAGAAACCCGGTTCAGAGATAGCTATAGTTCGTAAAATGCACGATAGAATTAGATAGATTTTGATTTTGTACCAAATATCTCATAGAGCTCTGAAATGCCCTGTATAAACCTTTTTACGAGAGCTCTACTAAATATGCATAGTGGTGTAGGGTATCATATAGTCGGCCCCGCCCGACTTTTGAGCTTTCCTTACTGGTTAAAAATAATAATATGTAACTTTACATTTGAAGTTCTCAGAGATCACAAATCCGCCTTACTGATCTCCTGATATCGGTATTCCCAAACATTTTCTTTACTTTAATCGCGTGCTGTATCATTAACCTCTTCAAAATATTGTTTATTATTATCAGCAACGTCCTTAATTTTTCCTTATATAACTTAGTCCCCCCTAAGGCTAAATTAAAGCAATCTTGATAAATAGCTCCATTTAGATATCTTCCTTTTGTTACAATTTTTTATACATTTGTAATAAAACTTTTAATGGAATTTTAAAATTTATAGCATTTGATTGCTTCATCTTCTTCTCCTCTCCTTTGGCTGACGTACGTACACATACCAAGACACGACCATTATTTGTACAGCATTTGTAGTGTAGAGAATTAACTTACAAGCCATAATATTCGGTGCAAATTACTGGACCGGAAATTTTAAGGTAAAGTTTCGTATTAATGATTTATTTCATTAGTGTATCTTTGGCCGACTATAAGTGTTTCGAACAAAGCCATAAACTTTCCAGACAAGTTAATAAATGTTGGGTGTGTGTGTGTGTGGGGGGTTTTATTTTGCTGGCTGACAGATACAACACCATTGTGTCGCTAAAGCGGCATTAAATTGTAAATTTTTAATTCACATGTCCTTAAATATACTTGAAAAAGTAAAACCATATTTATTTCATAAGCTGATAATAAAATAAACATGTGATTTTAAACAAATTTTCACATAAAGATAATGCATGCTAAGATTGTCAAGGCTAATACTTAGCTTGTTAAGAAATGTTAATGTGTACATGATTATGTTTATGAATACAAAACGACATTTGGATGTTTGTATGTATCGGCTTTGTCTCATATGGATAAAATTGGCAACAGGTTTGCGCAGTAAAAAGTGGTATACCATGGGATATATACAGGGTGAGATAAAAAAATTGCAACAAAGCTAAGAGACATAATTTTTCTTTTAAATTTTATCGAATGAAAGCAGAAAGTCGAAAATAGCATCAAATTTTAGAATAAGTTTAGATTTGTTCGAATTGGTCATCTTCGGCACGAACTATGGCCTTCAAACGGCCAATGAAACCGTCACA